TTAACTGCAATTGGTTAACTCTACAGAGGTGAGGGATCTAGGCTAGAACCTTTCTGATTTACATTTCACACCTAGATATTAGGGATGTAGTTTATTTTGATTGCTGTATGCTGAATTAGTTTGGTAGTTTCCTTCTCCCTTTCTTCCAGTTCCTCTATTTGTTAAGTAAATCCCATATCCTTCTTCCTACAACTACTGTTCTGACCTCCCTCTTCCTCTGGGATTGGTATTGTCCTTTCGCTGTGTTTTATTTGTGCATTTGCTTGGGTTCAGCCTAAGGACAATTGCATTAATTGCCAGTCTTCATGTCACCTAAAGGAATTTTCAAAGCATTCCTCTTCCCTTGTTGTTGGTTTAACCAAGGCTATGGGTCATGTTTTTACATTTGTCTTTGCTGTTTCTGATTCCATTTTTTAAAAAAAATTGTAACAATTGTTTTAAAAGGTACATTTTTCCCGGCTTTAAAAATGGTGAAAAGTGCCAAAATATCTTGATGAGCTGAGATAGCATGCGGTGTGTCGGTTGGCAATTGCTACAATTGATATTAATAAGATACTGTACCATCATGTTCATTTAATATCTGATCAGAATGCTTAAAGTAAAACCGATAACCTTTGGATATGATCTTCCCTGTCATTCACTGTAACAATGATTTCCTGCTATGCTGATATGAAACCAATCTCCATGTCTGATTTTGATCAATACAGTAGCAATAGTTTTGTGAGAAACTGTAGTCCATGTATTGCATTAATGCTTTTATAAGGAAGTGTGGAGCAATATTGTTCTATACTGTTGGCTGAGTATACAGTACTTCCAACCTTGTATCTTGGTGGAAGGACACACCTGTAAGCACTGGCAAACGTGGTTGGGATAACTCAAGTATGTGTCTTGCAAACCAGTGAAACAGCTCATTGCTAATGAATAAATATTTGGTAGACAGTAGATAGTAAGTTCTTTAGTACTTTCCTCTAACCAACCTACAAGCTTCTGTTACATTTGGAGAATCTGATGTTTTGTCCTCAGTGATATGTTCCTTAGAATTTTACAAATAGTGCACAAAATCTCCTGAGCAGACTTTTTTTTGTCTTGGTCATGCTTATCAATTCTTGATGTTACCAGAGCTGGGGTAATATATTTTGTAATAAATCGAAAGTGCATTCATTTGCACATTTTCCATGATTAAGACTTCATGCAAGGATCAGGATTATATGAATAGATCTATTCTTTACTGCTATAAAATAAAAGCATACCACCAGGAGTTCCACACATTTTGGTCACATCGTAAAAGACTGAAATCATTTGAGCACAACTATATTTATTAGCTCAATACACACTTCTGTAAGTATTTAATGCACGTGTTTTCCCATGAGCAACAACTAGGCCATCAATCAGATGATTAGGATTAAATATCAAAAGGGGCTCCTGCCTGCCCAAGTATTGAGGGGACAAAACATGTCTTCAGGAAGGTTAGAGTGCAGGACACAAATTTCTGGGTAAACAAGGTGCTGTTAAGATTATGCTGACCTTGTAAGCAATGTTCTGGAAATCAGAGGAAATTGCATCAAGAAACTTCCTTTCCCAGGAAGAAACAAGATAGCCAAAGGAGATGAGTCTCTGGCCTATCTAGTCTAGCAGTTGTATTTTTTTGAAAAAGTAAAAGTAGTTAATTTCTCCCCTTCAAAAGATACCCATTGGGAAAACGTCTTCAAGCCACTAAGGAGTGGCTTAAAGACATTTATCCATTGTAGGTTTGTCTGCCAATCTATTCTACCTTCAAGTTTTTCTATTCCAGAACTTTTTTTTTTGATGCCGTTAGTAAGATTTTGTCATGTGAATCAATGTCCAATGTTGCTCAAACCTTTGAAACTGAGCTCTAAATGTCGTACCTTCCTGACTGAACCACTGAACTGATGCAGTGTTCCATGTCCACATCCAGACGTGCTGAACGACTTTGGAACACAGACTGGAACATTCCAGCATTAATGTTGTTGCTAATTACAACCTATTGACATGCCAAGTTTGCTGGCAATATTGGTAAAATCACTTAAGGTTAGGTGAACGGATATGAGGTTTGGTGGGGGGGGACATGTGGAATATATTCGCTCACATCCACCATTGGGTTGCTTCTCCTAAAACCACCTTCCAAAAGTGTCCATCATCCTGCATTGTCAAGGTGCATCTATCAGAGACCTTCAATGATCATCCAAACAAAAGATCTTTTCCAAATATGGAATTCTGACTCTGTCCAAGGATGGAACAAATCTGATGGTGTGCCTTGATTCTTTTGAATGATGAACTGATCCAGACCATTGGTGTGTGTGTGTGTGTGTGTATCTGTTTAAACAGGCCTGCAGGGTGGGCCTACACAATTATAGCAGTGAGGGAAAAAACGTATTAGAATAAAGTGTGGTAGGACAATTAATCCTTTTGAGACATTGAATATGAATCCTTCAAAACAAAATGAAACTTTTTTCCCCAATTTATTCAGCAAATAGTGTTGATTTAAGAAATGATCTGCAGCTCCAATACATTCCTTAAATTCTGCTTTATAACCAGCATTAGAAATTTACATAAGAGAATTTCTGCACATGTTACATGATAGAAAACGTGTGTATATTTAAAGCTACAAACTTCAGTACTAATAGGCTCAACTTAAACCCTATTCAGAACTGGAAATTTCCAAGTCTGGCATTGAAAGTAATGGAAATTTAGGTATTGATTCTGTGGGGAATGACATTTGTATTACTTACTTGGGTAGCAGTGATATTTATTACTGCCAATATGAAGGCAATGGCCAACTATCGTGAAAATAACTCAAATCATTTTACAGCCTGCTTTACTTCTCACGTTGTATGCATTTCAAAGGGCACACATCTCACAAATAGAGAATACCATCATTGTCGGTACATTGCAGAGATTCATTCACTCACTTAAAACACAGCTATATCAACTTACACATGGGGTGTTACCAACAGAGGAGTGCAAAATTGTATGTCTTTTTGGGTACTTAGGCTCTAAGGATTTGGTTTCCAGACACTACATTTGATTTCATGGGGTCTGGTGCATGTATCCATTACAGCAAGTGCATCAGTCTCACAGGAATATTGAGGCTAGGTGGTAAAGCTGGCTAAGGCACTAGTCTCAGTCACTGTCCTTCACCCCTGGAGACCCAGGTATGTATACTGTACAGCCCAGGGAGAGGAGGCAATGAAAACCTCATTGTATTGACCTGCTCAGAATTACACTTTGCCATCATCCTGAATGGTCACATTTGCTACAGTTTGCACAAGTACAGTATATTGCTGTTGGCTGCCATTGACTGACCAAGCTGCCATAAGACCAGTTTTCACATAAACCATCTTTACATTTGTACACATCACAAAATCCTTTTGTCATTGACACTTGTGGAAGTGTCGTTGACAAAATATTGTGTTACAAATTAGTTAAATTGCAAAATCAGCCACACACACTGAGCTTTCCTTTCGTGGTTTGTTTCTACTTGGCTGAAAGTCATTCTCTGTGGCAAAATAGTGTAACTAGATGGAAATGGGACAGATATGTATTCCTTGGGTGAACACCCTAAGGTAGCTGTAAAATTCTGGATTGTAAGTCGCTTCTTGTGTACAAGTTCGTTCCTTTTTTATGGCTGCTTTTTTTAACCTAAAAAAACCTAAAAGTCACAGTGGTTGATAAGTTGCTCCCCTGTATTTGGAGGGTGCATAAAATAATTGAGACTTGTATGCAGAATTTTACAGTGACACCTCAGAAATAGCTTGCATGATTTACAGCTTCCTGCAACAGAGAAACCATATAAAATACTCTAATGCAATCCTCAACACACTGATACACATGCATTGTATATGGCTCCCTCTCCAACAGAATTAGACAGATCATACACTAGTTTTTTTGTAAAGCTCCCAAATAGTGTATACAGAGAGGGTCTGGTGTATTTAACTTTTCCTGTGGACCCCTTAACATGCAGTTACAAAATATAAAATACTATGCTAATATTTTATTATCTAGTTCAAAACATAAAAGTTCCATAATCGGCTTGTGAAAATATTTCTGCAGACAAATATTGGTGCCTCTTGAAGGGGCCAGGCAAATTGTATTTTCAAATAATCATTTGGGACAGTTGCTTGGCTTGTTTTGGTGGGTGAGGGGGAGGTGTACCTGGCTGGGCCAAACAATTTAGTGAGATTTTACTCCTGCCTTGATAGTGCCAATCACATTTGCCTACAATTCTGACCACCTTACCTAGAGTTCTGTCACTGCTTTGTCACACCCTCACCAACAGGTTTACTGAACAAAAGATTAATTTTAAACAAGAGAAAATTGTAATTCATTTAAGAGTAACGGCCATATTGCAAACTAGTTTTAACCCATTCTCCTCTGCTGTGGTTTAGTGCTTGTGCTGCAGCACCTGTACTGACACTTAATGGAAAAATAATTCAGATATGAATATATAATTAAGCACTGAAAATGCCTTTCAAACACAATAATACAGGTTTGTATCATAGGAGGCGTCGAAGCAGTTTGCCAGCTTAGTGGGTACAAGTGATAAGACACACCTTGAGTGAGGTATGTTGGGAGAGAATTTAGTGCCTGAAGGTTGTAATTTAGTTTGAATCTCATAACTGCCAAGAATAATAACATTCGGAATGAAGCCACAAGTACTTCGAAACAACACTCCATGGTAATGATCGAGTGCTAGACACAGCCAGGCAATACACTAACATCTTGCGAATATTGTAGAGCCATGCAATCTATCTCTAAAAGCATTCCCAGGAGTGACTTGCGAGTGACAGTGTCAGAACAATAGTGCGGTGCCACCATTCCCAAGTTATATGACCAAGACAGAATGTGGTCCTAACTGACAAATGCCCAAGTACTGCAGCCTTCTGCAAAAACATGCATTAAACCAGAGAAGTGGAGAACAGCAACAATGAACCCAACACCACCATCAACCAAGTGCACACCCTAATTAGCACCAAAACAATAAGGATAGCTATTTATTGTCAGAATTACATTGCTCTTTTATACATATTTCATAAATGACACCATTTTTAAACTTCAATTCCAATGTCAGGTGACAGTTCTTAAAGTCTGCGCACACACAGGATAAAACAGTAAAATAAAGCATGTAAATAAAGTTTTTAAAAAAACAGAAGAAACGTGCATCTGTTCTGCCTGGCATGCCGTCAGTTGGAAAGGCAGCAACGTTCCTGTCCATGTATTGACGTCTGCAAGGCACCTGACTTACTTTGACATAATTCCTAATCCCTTTCCCTTCATCGGACCTTTAAAACCCACATTGGTTTGAATAAGGTAAAAGTGCCCCAATCTCTGTGTCTCCAAACGTTCCATTTGGATTTGTAGGTGGGAGCGGAAGCGTTGACGTGGGGGGGGGGGCACCCTCATTGCTTCTCACTATTTATCGATTGCCCGGATGGGAAGCTGGAGCTGGAGCGGATCCCGGAGACGCTTTAAGTCCAATTCGGCCTGAAAGTCAGAATCAACAAACTTCACTGTAAAAGGCAGCACTTTGAGATGGCCGTGCCAGTAACAGCAGTCAATGGTCATATCCATTATATGAACATATTATTGCTGTAATCTATGACAAACATGTTTGAGACATGACCATTTATTATAAAGTCCAGTGATTTCTCACTGGCTGTGAAGTTCTGAACCAAGGTAGCCAAGGTACCCAGCTTTTTATTCCAAGAGTCTGGGAGAAATGTATACCAAGCTCACGGTGAATCAAGAACAGGGTTCTAAAGCTTGATTAATTTCACAAGCACTTTTGAGCATTTTTCTTCTTTAAAAAATCCTCAATATTCCTGAAAGGTTTTCACACTTTTGTCAGACTGAATTTATGTTGTGCAAGTCAAACAATATAAGTGCTTTGTTCACAGAAACAGCATTAAATGGGAGTCAAAGGACTACTTTCAATGATTTCTCCTGTAATGGGACATTGTATCAGTGAAGACCTGTTTCTGCAACAACTGACTTACCTGAACAATTGCATCCGTGAGCTGATTGTATTTCTCCACATCAAATTGTGTCTTTTTGGCTCCTTTGTGGAAGAAGTGTAAGTATTGTCTGTCTCTGGCATCTGGGTAAATGTACTCCTGTCAGGGGAGGAGACAAAAGGTTGTTAGATGCTAATAGTAGAAGCTGCAAGAATCCATCGCTCTGAGCATGTATACTCCATATACCATCCATATACCCGGAGCTCAAGGGAGGAAAAATAAATTAGCAGCAACATCTGTCTGAGATGCTCTGTCAATTGGTCAAGTGGCTGCTCAGGCAGATTCCAATCTGAAAGTGAAAACCATCCAGAGGTTATTGATTTTCAGCAGCACTGGAATTAAGCATTGCCCTAGCAGAACATGTGGTACATGGTACCTACCTGGCGTGTTAGCACAAAGTACGCATACATCGCCATGGCACTGCCATAAGTAATGAAGTAGGTGACAGGCTCCATTATATCCCAGGAATATTCCCACCAAGTGAGTCGAGCCAAAATTCCAAATTGGGTAGCCATGTAAGCCATGCCACCCCACAGGACCCAAGTAGTCCTCTTCTCTGCTTTCCTTGCTAAATCCATCTTAATCTGCAAGAAAAGACAAAAACATTTGGTTTAGGTTTAAACAGAAGGATAAGATAGCTTTCTGAATTTCATAGCTTACTGTTATTTTCATGGTTTCGATGAAAAACATTACATGCAATGTAAAGAAAATTTACTGTGACAATGGAATTCTGGTGCAGTTTAGGTTTATTTTAACTAAGTTGTCTGTATTAAAGGGAAGGTTCTCTGTAAAATTTTGGTCCCATCCACTGCCTGGAGAGGTTACTATAGCTTGCACATTGCTTCTACCACCTACAAAATAGTCACTAAATTTTACAGTAAATCCTGTGAAGCGCTTTGATATAGTGCTTTTCATGTCAGGAGGACATCTCAAAGGCAATGACTATTTTTGCAGAGTCGAAGGTTAGCAAATTTCATAACCTGTCAAATATAATAGAAGTAATAAGTACTGATGTTGCATCAAAGCACATTCAATCAATAAGTCATCTTATTTAAGATTTTTCTCTGAGCAGAACTCTATTGTAACGTTTGTACATTTCAACGGCTCAAATGCAGAAATGGACGCCTGGCAATTGAGGATGGAAGATTCAAAATGGACTCGAAAAAGAATCCATCAGTGGAGAAGTTCACTCACTTTTTCAAATGGCTCAATCTGAGCTTTGAGCTCTTCCAACCGACCGTTCAGCTCCTTCTCTTTCAGCAGCTGGTGCTCCTCAATTCGTAAGGTGGTAAACAGTTGCTGTACAAGGACTTTAATGTCATTCATAGTTTGTGCATCTTCATGACTCAGATTTTCTGCAAAATTCAAAAATAAGAAAACAAATATTATTAGCCAACATTTTTGTGGCATTCTCACCAGAGGAGGTTATTTAAAAAAAGGCTGAACCCAGCAATTGTAGTACCTGTAAATAGGAACCCGGTTGTTAGTCGATTGGCGGATCGCTTTTCCGGGGGTAATAATCCCTTTTTTTAAAAAAAAGTTTTAAAAAAAATTGGTCTCTCAATCCACGACTGTTGTGTGCAATTGTTTGCTGAGTTTTACCCACAAAATCTACAATCAATCTACTTTACAGTATATTCTGTGCAGTGCTTTGAGATATCTTGAAGATGCTCTATCAAATGCAAGGATTATTATTATTGTATTTCTTCCAGCATTGTTGCTTCAACCCTAGACAACATCATCTCACCATCTGCCACTGATCCCAGCTTGGGCTCCCTGTAAAACACCTTGAGACATTCTTTCATTGTAAAATATAAAATGTAAAATTGACATTGAGTTCATGGTTCAAGTCTTTTCCGGGGGTAATGCTTCTTCACTGGTGGCCCAAAATATTTTCTTTTATGTTCCTTTGTCTTCCTTTGGCAAATTACCTTTTCCCAGGAGTCTCCTGCTGCTGCTCCTAATAGCTGATGAGAAGCGTATCTCTCCACTCAGTTGGGATAGACTCATTCTCTACCGGCTAATGTTTCTACAGCTGAACTGACCAACTCAGAGCTTAGTGGTCGTTGTTAAACATGTCCCACCACATCATGTGACATACATTAGCACTCGAATCAAATACAAGATCATCTCAACTTGGGCTCATTACTTCCATGTACAATTAGTGTAATAAAATCTGATTGATAAGGAACCAAACCTGAGAGGATTGCAAGTTACTTAGATTTTGCCATGTCACAACAAGCAGCAACAAGGTCAATGTAATGTGAGCTATAACCAGCAGGTGTCAGCCGAGCAACTTTTAAAAGGTTTGGTCCCTAAGTCAATTAGTCTACTTTTAAATGCGAGCTTTTCTTGCAGCAATACAAACTCTTACTGAACCTCTTTCTCTCAAAACTACCTTTTAAAAAGAGTAAGAGCGATTGAAATACAACAGGAACTGAGTGGGAATGAATCCCAGTAAATGGATGCACGCAGACTATGTGACTCAAAAATGTTCGTTACAAATGAAAAGACATTGCAAATAACATTCATTGTCATTTCTAATTAGAATGAAATTCTGTTTGCATGGGTAAGGCTAAAATTGTCCTAATTGTGAACTAACTGACGAGATATCAAGTGGAATCCAGCTCATTAAATATATGTTAATAGCAGCAGGCTGAGCGCTCACAAAGCCTGATCTGACTGGCTGTCAAGGAAAGAAAGATTCCTTTCAGTGGCAGGAGAAGAATAACTCAGCCAACTTTCAGGCTGTGGATGGTGCTTAACACTAGATGCCTTAAAATGATTTAACTAGAAAAATAAACATTAAATTATTGAGTGATTAAAAACAGCAATGAGTTCATAAGAGCATCATTCTGTAGCTGAAGGCAGCGTTCTAGCTGACTAAGTGTGGTTGCGTTGTGTGCATTCTTGAACTGTTGCATTCTCTGGGGTACCGTACAGTGCCTTGGTATGCTGTCCAAATGGTTATTATTCATGCATCATCCTTGACTGTGATGAGCTCAAAATTGTCCCCATCTAACACAACAACAAAAAATTGCATTTATACAGCGCCTTCCACGTCTGGAGGATGTACCAAGACGCTGAAACACATGCGCACATTTTCAGCACAGGTCTCTGGATCCTGAACAGGAGTGTGAATCCTGGCTGATTTTGTTTAAGCATAGGATGAAGATTACAGTAATAGTAATAATCCTTACATTTCTTTGCAATAATCCTATTAACCCCCACTGTATTAGACAAAGCTGACTGCTTTGTTTCAACTGAACAACTATTTTTTCCCTGGAGTTGGGCTGATTAGATTCAATCATTTTCAGACTCACAGTAGCTACCGTACCTCTCTTTGGTGGCTGGACATAGTACGTTGTATCGTTGATCAATAATTTGAAATCATCTAGAAGTAGAATATCAATTGCTGTTGATGCAGCTATTCGATTTCCATCTGCAAAAAAATAAGAGAATTGTAGGATAAGTAAAAAGGGACAGGCTGCTCATCATAACAAGCAGCATCTGCCAACCAAATACTGTACCCACCAGAGGCAGCCCAAATGATCTGCAAAAACATGCAAAACTCCAGAAATTCCATCATCAGCATGCCATATTAAGCAAAGGGATTCTCGCTCAGATACAAGCTCAAAGCATGTACCGTGTTCTTGACAGAGATACTGAGTGAATATAGACTGAGCATTTATCAAAGTCTGCTCTCTGCCTATGCTCCTGGGAAATTCTAGCTGTGGGCAGCACTTTGTGCAGCAAGTAGACAGTCCAATTCATGGTGCTAGGATACTTAACACTGGGATTCCCATACATCATGTGCCTAATCAAATTAATATCAATTGAGAGGAAAAGAAGACGGGCACTTTTTACAGGGAGAAGCAAACATTTTCCAGAAGCACTCAAAATCAGCACACAGAGAACTTACACTCTTCCAGTGAAAGCACTAGTGCTGGATGAACTGGGCAGTGCCTTTAGGTCATCATGGGAATTCTTGGGGAAGATTTTACCCTGAGGTCAGAATCTGCTCAAGGAACACTTGCGCAGTGCTGCAAACTGTGTTCTAAAACCTTACGCTCTTTCAATCTACCAGAGCCCTGCTATTTCCTGTGTCCTGTACCTGGGGAGTAGATGGCGACCCTGTCGATCCCTTTATCCTCTGCCTGCAGTTGCTTAAGGAAAACTCCCACAGAGTCGGACATTGGCTTGAGGGTGAACTGGCAACGCTCCTGTCGCGATGGAAGGCTGACAGAAACCACGGGTAACCCATTCTGGTAAATAACATTCACATCTATACAGAACGAGAGAGAGAGAAACACAAAAGGCAGTCAGATTTGCTTTAAGGCAAGATATTATGAAAGATCATCTTTCCAGGAAAAAACAATTTCATTTTTAGTTTACAACGAACTCAGATGAAACATCTTTTAAATTTAAGGAGCAGACCATTCCAGCCTACCTATCTAAATTCCAAAAGATTCCTTTGAGGGAAAATAAAGCTGATGTTTGTAATTGCAGCTTTATATAGGTTAGAAATTGTGACATTAGTTTGTACATGAAAGAAGTTAGTCTGGTGTACTGCTACTACTGTTAGATGGGTGGGTGGCAGTTTTTTCCTTGGACCTTTGACCAAGTTATTATTGTGCTCATGAGAGCCTCAAAGGCCAAAGCTCTCATTGCAGAAGTCTAATGCCGACTCACAAATTCATATCACATCTTCTTCCAGTATCTTACGTTCCTGACACGATGCATATTGCTGTGTTCTCACTCCAACAACAACAAAATTACATTTGTATAGAACCTTTCACTTCGGAAGGACGTCCCAAGGTGCTGGATAATCAGTCTTTCGGATGCGAGCTAGGGGTCAGGATCGGGGAGGCTGGAGGACAAGGGATGATCGAAGGCATGGTCAAAGAGGAGGGTCTTGATACAGGTCTTGAAGGAGGCAAGGGAGCAGGGAAGCAGAGGGACTGTGGGATGGAGTTCCAGAGGGTGGACGTAGAGTGACTAAAAGCCCGCCCGCCAATGGTTGAATGGGCGAGACAGGAGACGTGAAGCAGGCTGGAGCCCGCTGAGCGGAGGAAGAGGGCTGGTTGGTAGGGGGCTAGGAGGTAGTGGGGAGCAAGGATATGGAGGGCTTTGAAGGTGAGGACCCGGATCTTGAACTGCATCCTCTGTGTGATGGGAAGCCAGTGGAGTCAGGCAAGGATGGGGGCGATAAGGCATGGAGCCTGGTGCTTGAGAGGACACGAGCTGCAGAGTTCTGGATGATCTGTGGCCTATAGAGGGAGGAGTTGGGGAGGCCGACAAGCAGGGAGTTTGTATAATCAAGCCTGGATGTTACGAATGTGTGTATAAGGGTCTCGAAAGTTTATGATGTCTGTGAGTAGAGGGGCAAGGAGGTGGAGCTGGGAGGTAAGGAGAGGGGTAGGGATGGGGGCGAGGGAGCAGGTGGTCGGTCACTCCAACTGTGATTCTTTAGAGTGTTTTCTCCATATTCCCTGCATAATATTGTAATTGTTTCAGGAGCGTAGATAAAGAAATGGTGAGATTTCTCACTTAATGCTGCCATGTGATCAGAATGTACGGTCTGCCTTTATGAAATCAATTTAAAAATAGAAAAACAATAACCCTTGCATCTGATATAGCAGCTCAAAACGCTTCACAGGATTTACTATAAAATGTAGTCACTGTGTATTTTGTAAGCCAATTCGTGTACAGCAATGTCCCACAAATGGCCATGAAGTGAATAACTAATTTTAGCTGGGGAGTTGTTGGCCACGACACTGGGAGAAACTCTCTTCCCTGTTCAAACAGTGCTATTGGATCTTTAAGGTTCACCTGAACAGGCAGACAGGACCTTTAATGTCTCACCCAAAGGATGGGTTCCAAAAGAGCTCATCAAATCTAATGTGCCAAACCACACTGTATGAAATTCTATTGATCCTGCCCCAGAGCTGTTATATTATCAGTTTGATAACCACCTTACTGCAAGGATCTAAAACATGGAGGGAATCTATTATGGTCTTCATCCACAGGGTAATTATTGAAGTGAAGGGCAATGAAAACTATTCAAACACAATGAACCTACGCTTCTAAAACAGTGAATAACACGTGTATGTGAGAGGTTGAGAATTGCAAAAGTGAAAGCAAGAAATTGAATAATTTATTTAAATCTAAGCCAAATAAATAAAATTAAGCAATGGTTTTAACCCCAAACCTTTTGAAATATTCTGTAAAGACAGTAGGGTAAAAATGGAAGATAGGACCTGGGAACGATCAATCTTTCCTTTTATAATATTACCAGAGGCTGAATCTCTTAAATCTGGTAATTTCAAGGTCTATAAAAACGAAAAAAGCATGAATGCACTCAACTAATGGAATTCAGCATGCCTGACCTCTTTCTCTATGCTTTTCCAACAAACCAGCAGTTTAGGTCTCCCCCGGAGATGGATACTAATTGTAGGCAGTAACAGGACTAAAGTTACTGTGAAATGATCTGAGGCCATCTGAGGGAACACTCTTTAACGCAACCGGGCTTTCACCTGGTACCTCCATCACCTCTCAAAAAACATTCAACAAAAAAATTTGCAAATGCTACTTGGATGTTACACTGAGCTCTTTTAGCTTGGTTTGTTTACCTGTGCTTTTCTCTCTTTTCAATTCCCTATTCTCAGCATCACAGCCTCTTATACTGAGCTGGTACTTTTCACCGAAAACACACCTCCTCACTTTTCTTCCTGAAATTTTTGGAGCCTCTTGGCTTCACGCACCAATGGATTAAAGGATAGAATCCCTACCAACGCTGCTCAGGAACGGCCTTTAGAAAGACTCCTGGAGGGTTTGATATCCCTTGGCTGTGCCATGGAACATATTTGAAATTGAAAAAGAAAAATATGACTGGCAGAATGCACTTAACAAATTCCAGTTCAACTCAGAAAAACGGAATATTTGGGATTTTCGCTGTCTGTTAATGGGTTACCAAGACAGATCTGTAACCTGGAAATAATGAACAAACTTGTATATAATCACAATTTTTATCAAGTAATTAGCAAGAGGCTAGTGCAAAGCGCAAAAACAATTGCTGTGGAACTCATACCCCATCGTTTGTCTCTATTCTTACATCACCAGGACTCACGCTGTTCTGTTGTGCCTATAATTTTATTTTTAAATAAAAAAGGGACAAGTGGACCAAGGTGAAGAAGAAAACTTGCGTGGAAGTTTCTGAACAAGACTCACATGTTCCCATTATAAAGGAAGTAACCAGGCTTCTTTAGTACCCTTTTGTTCCCTTTCCCAGCTGTTTGTTAGATCTGAATGATGAGATCAGCATGAAGGATATTAACTTCCATTGAGATGAATGGCAGCCAGTGGAGAATGACCTCATGGATTAAAAATACACACGTGGAGTAGCTCTGTCCCCAACCTAGCGAGAATCCCTCTGTTGGTTTTAATATGCATCAATCTAAACAAACATCTCCTACCAGGTAGATTACAACAGTCATCCCTAACATTCTTTAAGGGTGGGTGGGGGAGCAGAGGAAGAGACAACAGCAGAGCACCCTTTCCCAGGACTGCAGGAGAGCTGCCCACACAGGAGATTCCTGGTGAAACAGATTGGGAAATAAGAGTATATTTAACACCCAACCATGGGTAGGATTTGACTTGCTATAAAAAGAACACCCGAAAATATAAATATGGCTGATGTGGGAAATGGAACTACCACAGCAGTGGGAAAAGATTTGCTTCTGATGTTAGATTTACATACTATTGGGAAAGTGTGGAAAGAAATTCAGTCTTTTTATTCAATTCATGCTGTACATCAATTGGGAATGCTAGATACAAACACTGTTTAGTTGGATGTTAAAGATGCCTAGCATCACTAGTTGAAAAGTGAAAGAAGTTTCTCCCAGTGTCTCGGCCAAGAATCCCTCAAATAACGACTGATGAAGGGTCGTTGACCCGAAACGTTGACTCACTTTCCTTTCTCCATAGATATTGCCTGACCTACTGAGTGTTCCCAGCGACTTCTGTTTTTGTTCCAATCCCCCAGATAAAACTGGTTACTCAATTTACTTTATGGGATGAAGCTGTGTGCAGAATTGGCTGCCGCATTCGCCCACGCAAAAAAAGTCACTCTACAGTGAATCTTGTGAAGTACTTTGAGATATCCTCCTGATGTTTAAAGGCGCTATACCAAATGCAAGCACTGTTAGGAATATCAATAAGATTTAAGATGATGTTAAATGGGAACTCATTGCTCAAGGTAGTTTATAGTGACAAAAAATTAGCACATTGACCACTACAGACTCCTTTGCCACCATAACTTGTGAAGAGTCCAGTGTGGAATTCTAATTCTGGTCAATCTTTCCCATTTCAGTTGTTCCAGGATTCTAAAACAATACGATTTAGAACAAAAAGCTTTGAGCAAAGTTAGGGGATATGAATCATTCATAATATACAACAAAAGAAATATTCCGTAAGAACAAGTGTATTAAGTGAGCATCAAGAATTATTATTCCAATGAAGGATTGAAATATTGAAGCGCCAGGAGCAAGGTTCTCTGAACACGCTAGTTATTGCTGTGTTACTCTCCTGTGCAAACATGAGGTGGCACTGCTGTGTGGTGCCTTGTATTGCAACAACACCTTGCACTTATCTAGCGTCCTCCATGCAGGGTAGCGTCTCAAGGCACAGTGCTTTGTACTGCACTGTGCAATCGATACGTACATTATAAGAAATCAATCCCACAACTACTGTCAGTACTCACCATTAGAGGGCACAACCGTACTGGAGCAGTACATCACCCGGTGGCTATGCCACGCAGATAACCTCGGGCATACCTGAAAAGCAAAGAAGAGTGTTTTAATGTGAGTAGAACTACAGAACGCACTGCACAATGCCATAATCTTCACCACACCCACCTTTAAATCACAGACAAACACAACTCACTCAAGTCAACTGCAGGAACAACCCACGTGAATACCTGGAATGACTCACTACCGCAACGCAATAGGTTTGTGTAGCGAACACAAAGGTGTGGCCCAAGGCTGGAAGATCAAATGGCAAAAAAAGATTTTTTTTTATAATTCCAACTTTTAACCCTCTCCCACACACTGACTGGAATGTTTCTGACTCTAATGCTCATGGTTGTGTGCTACAGTTAGCAACTGAAATGAGCAAATACTTGGACAAAGACCTTCAGCAATCACAGACTACTTCATGGAAAGACACAGGAGTTTATTTTAGTACTTTGTGCAGATGCCAACCACAGATTGGCAATGTACACCACACCATTTCCTACATACATTTTTAAAAGTTTTGTACAAATTAAAAGAGATGTTATTGGAACATATTCCAATAGCAATGAAAACAACACATTAGGCACATTGTGTTATAAAGAGATTTTTACTGTTGGTACTTTTCTCCCACATTTTTAAATGTACTTTGTGCTTTTCCTTTAAAACTGCTCCTGGGCCTCTGTCAGGAAGGGAACGGTGGGTTGTGTGAATGGTTGAGTGGCTCAGCTGTAATCGCGTGAGCTTTGCGCAGAGCCACCTCATTGATAACTTGCCAAAGAGAAGGACCTCATTGATAGAAACATCACCCCAAGTTCAGCATCTTATCGCTTGGGTACCCTGTGCCCTCACTGGCGTCTTAAGAAAGGCAAAAAAAAATGTTCGCAGTATGTTTTCAGACTGCCAAACGGTGCCATGGAGCAGAAAACTCGCTCTTCCTTTCAACTGTGGAATATCCACATGGAAACTCAGCAAAGCTGTAGCCACAAAAACAAAATCCTTCTTTATGCATCAAAATGACAAAATGAACAAACAGTGTTTACAGACAGGACCCAGCTGCTCTGATATTTTTAGTTTATTTACTGCAGTCTTTGCATTCTTGTACTAAAGAGGGACTTAAACTGCCCCTTGACTAATTCAAAGCCATATAATACACTGAGGAGGGGCAAGGGAGGAGAACAGAAAGCTAAGTGAAGATTAACACAAAATTCAGACATGTATACAGGCGTGCCCTGTAATTTTAAATTAAATTCATCAATTAAACGCCTCTTAGAATTTCACTTTGAATTCTCGACCAAAGCAGCACAGAATCATGGCCCATCAGTCAAGACTCTTCAATGTACTGCAGATAAAAAGCTATTGTTTTTGCTCCCTTCATCTTTCAAATTAATTTTCTCTCCCCTTTGAAAGTCTTTCTGTATAACACACGACTCCATGGTTGAAAGTGCATGCAGGGAATCCATTTCTCAAAGCCTTCGTTAATCTAGTGTAATTGTATAGAAGCAAGTCTGGTCTGATCTTGCATGCGAAACCTTGGGCTAGTTTCCTTACTCCACACGCCTAATAATAATCCCTCCAAAAAAACAAAACAATAATGAATTGGTCATTTTCAATCTACGACTGTTTGTGGGACATTGCTGTGCGCAATTGGCTGCCGCGTTTGCCCACAAATATACAGTCAATTCACTTTACAGTATATTCTGTGAAGTGCTTTGGGACATCTAGAAGACGTGAAAAGCGATATATCAAATGCAAGGATTATTATTATTATTAATAATATGCTGTCAAATTAGCACTTTGAAAAAAACAATGCATCTGGTCTCTGCTCAGCATTTTGGTTAACGACATGGCTGAAAATTGCTTTTGAACCGACAGTAGCGTTGGCAATCCAGTATTACCACTTCTCCAAAATGTCCTATTAGGCAACACAGAGTCCACATTTCCATTCATCTGCAGTACAAGTCCCAGGTTACCAAATGAACCAATCTCCAAATAACCACACTATCTGCTCTCTTACATTTATATGGAAGCAAATTCTAAGGCTGAACATCATAAACCAATTTGATCATTTCCCATTAATCTCTACCGCTTTCTTTCACGCAATCTGAAAGGCAGGACGATAACTGAAGGTTATCAGTCCGTTCATTATTGGCTACAGTTTGAAGAAATGTGGCTGGTATTAGTCTCAGCTTCTAGCTCAGTTTGGCTGCCAAGCAATACACAGCTCCTACGCGCTGGCATTCTGGTAATTGTGCTGATTTTGATAGGTAGATAGATGCTAAACAGATATATAATTCTGATTGTTGGAGCTCAGCACATTTAAATTGCAAACTCAAATGTGTTGAATTCTATGAGCGCACTGAGCTGTGACTCTAATGACAGTGCCTGTCATTACCTGCACATCTCCGAATGCTGCCATCTGCCAGTGTCCTCCCCTGGGTATTAGAATATAACGCGTATTGTGTAACACATCAAACTGTTCTCTACAAGTGAATATTGTCAGGGAAGCTGTGTTAGCCCTTTTCAAAGCAGGCCTGAAAAACATCCTGTTAAAATAGAAGTACTAGTTTCCAGACAATACACAAACAAGCACCTGCTTAAAAATCTCCACTTGCTGAACTATGTTAAAGAATATATTTGGCTCCCCCCACCACCTACTCTTACATTCCTTGTGTGGGCTGCTCGGTTTACAAATGTTACCTGAAACACCATCAATCCTGGTTCTAGAAACATTAAACATGAGACATTTCTCCTCCCCAGGATAATTTTCCTTCTCTCCTTTTTTGGCAAAGCTGACAGGACCTACCTGCCCTTGACGGCATATATAACCTGCCATGTATCCTGGGAATGCTCGATGGACACACTACGTATCCAAGTACTAACAGCTCTCACCTTCTGTAGCATAAAATGCATAGAAACACTCGGTCTAAAGAGCCATTGGCCTGTAAAGTTACTGAAAAAATTGTTCCCGCCTTTATTAACGCAGGATGCTATTTTGTGTTACAGTAGCCTCATTGTGCTTTGAAAATAATGCATCACTTTACATGTTTTTTTTCACCAAACAGATTGCATCTTCATTATATTCGCTAAATAACCTCTCTCCTTCCCCATTAAGTTGAATGATCCAGCATTGTACATGCCAGATCCTGGGTAATACAGTTCGATGCCCATCAAAATAAAGATGTTGCAGTAAATGGGCACTTCAACATTGTATAATTCACACAAAGCAAACGCGTATTGTGAATATTTGCAGTAGATTTGCCAAAGCAAAAAAAGAACCACAGATAGATCAGTGTTGAGCTAGCTGACCTCAGTCAGAATGGCACGAGGGTCCTGGAATTAACCTCAAGTGGGCTCCACACAATGGCTGGAATATAGTAGCATGGTAACAATCTTACAAGGACAAAAATGCATTGAATTACATAAAAATTGTAGGAAGAATTATTTTCTGGGAAAGATTGGAGATCCCATTAAACTATGAATAGCTGATGAGATTTTTGCTGCAATTTCATTTGACTTGAAGGTAACAGGATTTAAGGCTGAATGAAGGCAGAGAATAGATCTCAAGGGAAAATCAGTCTTTTGACTCCAGTGATAATTCAAATGTCAAATCTAGGGAGAGGGAGGAGGAGAGAGAAATTCCGAAGAGAAAAATGGGAGGCAATTATAACAATATTATACCAAATACATTTGTAACTCTTGACCGGCAGGAATCTGAAATTGTAAGTAACCCAAATACTATTTCAATGTGAAAAATATAACATATTATTCCTACAGCAAATTCAAGGAGTCAATTCAATAAAGAGAAATTAAATTAGTGTTTCTTTATGGTTATCCCTGTTCATAGCTTCTCAGAATTATCTGTCCAATTAATCCTCAGTTATATGCAGCTATATGCTATAGACAAGGGGCCCATAGGAATTAGAAATTAACTTCACTGAGGCTTTTAAACAGTTAGATGTAAATCTATATGGCAGTGGATTTTTTCTAGCCAACTTGTCCCTCAGTTTCTCTCTAGTGATGGATGTGAAGCCGAGTCTCAAGATTTGACTGAAATTATGTACCATCTCCTGGTTGGTAATATGTGTGTTTAGCTTTAAGAGCAAATGCAAATTTCATCAAAGACCATTGTATGGCCTCAGATTAATGGACACTGGCAGCCAAAAGAGATGCAATATTTTGATTGCCCACCACCAAACCAAAAGGCAGAGGAAAAATGGAAACTCAAAACTATCAATTAATGCAAGTTTTTTCTCTTTCTCCCCTTCTGATTAAATAATGTAATAGAATTGGACAGTGACAATCAGAGGCCTGAGGCACGGGAAACATTTATCAAGGACGAGGAGCAAAAACCTCACCTCCCTTTGGTAATTGTTCAGGACCTAACAAAATTAATTTAGACCTGCTATATTCCAATTCCTAAGGGACACAAGCTGACGGCACAAAATTGCAGATAAGGAGACATTAATTGCACAACATGTTCAGAAAGCCCATAAGCACGCAGCATTTATCAAAGGTAAGTCATAATAGAGTTCCCCATTCTGTTAAAGAACTCCTTGAAGTGTAGAGAGGGGACATTAGTTATTAGTTACAATTGCCACATCAAATTATTAGGCTAATTTAGCATGCCTGATAAAATGTAATTTGGACTTTGTTTCTGCTGCAGTACCACTTTTAACACTTTTCTGCTACAATGTCCTTCAAATGGTTTCAGATGTATGCACCTCAGGTTGTTTTTTATCGTGGAATTCAAGGAGTCGGGGGGGGGGGGGGGGGGGGGGGGGAGTTGGAAGAGGAGAGGATGGAAGAAGCATGCATGAAAATATTTTGCAGTTTGTGTGTTTGCACGTAGGTTTTCCTCTTTATTGAGCTCCTAGTTTGAATTACATTTATCTAAAGGAGTCAAGCCAAATTTCAATCCCATTGGAAACACTTCAAGGATGTACAAGACAGAAATATTGTACCACGCCTGTATGACGTTCACAACCAAATTGTCATGTGGAGCTGGATAGGATTTGAACTGATAGAGATAAGCTTCACTTAGA